TCGGTTCCTTCGGTTCCTTCGGTTCCTTCGGTTCCTTCGGTTCCTTCAGCCCCTTCCACTCAGGCGGCTCCTGCGCGAGCTGCTTCAGAGGATGCGGCAGAACCTCGAACGAGGCCACGGGCACCCGGTCGGCGCGCGCGCGAAGGCGCGCGAAGGAGCGCCGCGCTGAAGGAGCGCCGAAGGGAACGAGAGGTTTGCCATGGAGAGGCACCTGAGGGTTAAGATGTTTAAGAACCTCCGGTATCAGTGGCTGCCTTGAGAACCTCCGGTATCAGTGGCTGCCTTGAGGCTCTTGACACAGACCACCTGGGTGAAGATGCTTAAGATTCATACTGGTAGCTGGATCTTCCAACTGCGCAAACATTTCTGCCTTTCGAGTTCCTTTAGATCTATATCGAAGCCAGCCAAAAGATGCCGTGGGCAGAGATGTTTTGCCTAGTTGGAAGATCCTTCGGCGATCGAGGTCTCAAACCCGGACCTTCTTTGTGCCCGGTGGTCGTTGGACATCCCGAATCACCTCTTCACCGAGGCGATTTACATCGATTTATCCCAGACGCTCCATGGGACTGGAAGATATGCCGAGAAACGGCTTCCGGGGTGGTGCCAGGGGGGTCAGACTCTGGGGCGGCAGAACTATTCCAGTCCCATGAAGTGTATGCCCTAGGCTTCCAAGACCATTTAAAAAATGGTTGACCTGGTTCTTGTAGTGTAAAAATCCTTAGTTGATTCGGTAGTTGGCCTATTAAATGAATGGTGGGCCAGCCTAGGGTATGGGTATATATATAGACACCTCTTGGTGTCGGTCCCGGAAAACACGGGCCTTCTCTCGGAGTCTCAAGATCTCCCACTGAAAGACCGGACCGAACGGTCGCAGCGGGGCGGAGAAAAGGGTGCGCGCCATGGATCGGAATCGGTGCCGTTGAAAGACAGGACGAACCAGGGGTTTGCCGTTGTTTCAACGGGGGGCGGGTTACCCATGCCGTTGCATATGGTCTTTGGACGTCAAAGACTAGAAAGAGAATGGTCTTTAAATGGTCTTTAATGGTCTTTAGGTGACCCGAGTCAAGGAATGTCCTTGACTTCAGTCGGTCAACATTTGGTCTTTGGACTTCTAGGGTATGTCTTTTGCCTTCCTTCTTTCTCGTGCCCCTTCACACTCACCGTGCGCCTTTGCCGGTCTACCCCTCACCGTGCCCCCTCGCTCCGCTGCTCCCCGGTGCCTCGCAGCTGCCGCCGCAGGGGAGCCCTGCCACGCGGAGCTGCCGGAGGGCGGCGGCTTCCGCAGCGCGCAAGAGCTGCGACGATGCCTGGCGGATGCAGTGGCGAATGGGGAAGAGGATCCGCCGCTTGGAGCCTGCGACGGTGGGAGGTGGAGATAGGTGGAGGATTTTTGTTGATTGGTTGGCTGGGAGTGGTGGGTAAGCTTCATAAGCTTCATGACGCATGTTCGGTTTGGCTTGTCAAAGATGAAAGAGCTTCGCCGTATCAAAGACCTCCCAAAGACCGTACTGACCGATCTCGTTGCGCTTTGATCGGGAAACCGAGCGATCCAAGCCGAACGGGCTTCCACGGCACCGAGCTGGCCGGGACTGACCGTCGATCGTGGAGGACCTACGGACGTGTAAAAGGCTTGGAATGTTTGTTTTGAATGTCGAAAAAGCCGACCGGAGCGTCTCAGAAAGGGTCTTTCTGCGCTTTCCTCAAGTTTTTAGACATGTTTTATTCAATTTTTATAAATCAGAAGACTTGGAATGTCAGCTTTCGGTTTTCATCTCCTTTCCTCCCTGAAAAAACACCACCGTCTGACGAACTGACGCCTTCCAAACTGAGGTTCCTGAAGCCCCTCTTCGCCCTGTACGAGGTGCACGGGCTTTTGCTGTGTGGCCCCCTGCAGTTTGCTTTCAAGCCTGTCGGGGAAACCAGGCTCACCCAGGCCGCTGTCGGGTTTGGGATCTTGGAGTCTTGGAGTGGTAACAGAAGATCTGAATTCCGGAATCTCCTCTGATAAAAAGATTCTGCAAAGACCAAAGGATCTAGAAAACCTCTCAAGGACATCTCCAAACAAACCACATCCCAGGATCATCCTGTCTAGGTCTAGGTGTCCGGTTCGGAGGTCAGTGCAGGATGTAGGGTAGTCTATTGGACGCCCTGGTTTGAGGATGACCCAGGTCCCATCCAGTAAGCTCTTCAGCGCTGACGGACTGCTCCTCCACAGGAGCTCGCTGACCTGGGCCACTCGCGCGAGGTCTCCGGACGATGCGCGGCGTCCGCTCCGCCGCTGGCGTGCGACGAGCACGGCTGACCCGACAGTGGCACGGTGCCCCGAGTGGGGGACGGCGACCGACGCGTGGGTGGGTGGAAGGACACTAGAAGCACGCGGGAAGGCCGCGCTGCCCAAAACCACCTTGCTTCACGGTCTTCTTGATGTGCTTCAGGTGAAGGCAACATTATTTCTAGCCGGTGGTTCTCCAAGATGATTGCAACCTGCAACAAGGTCCTCCTCACCGAGCGACCGATGCTGGAACGATCTTGGCTCCGATTCCCGGATGACGAGCAAGTCCAAAGCAGCGATGCTGCTCGAGTTGTATGTACCAAGTGTATGAACCACAATGTACATAGCTAAGTCAGCTAAGTCAAGTTTCACTCACCAACTCCTACCTGAGAAGCATTTGAGCAGACCTGATACTGCTCCTTTCTGCTGGAACCCATGGGCGACCGGCAAGATTGTCCAATGTTCCATGAAGATATTAGCCTTACCAAGCTAAAGAATAGGCTTTGGAGTTTGAGCAAGACAGGACATCTTTGAATGGCCTTCTAGCTTGAAAGTAGGCCTTCTCGAGGTTGCTAGAGCTTCACCTTCATCGCCCAGGTTGCTCTCAGCCCGTCCTGAGTTCGTCCTTCCCTTTTTTCCCCGCGCCGCGGGGGACGTGAGCGTCATCAGGACGAAGATGAATTCGACGATCTGCATCAGGGATCGTCGATCCGGTCCTTCGATCTGCGATCTGCGCTGATCCGCCGTCGGAACTCGTGATTTCACACGGAATGGGAGAGGGGGCAAAGAGTCGAAGAGGTGAAGAACGGCGACAGAGATCTTCGAGGGCGAAGAACGGTGCGAAAACGACACGGCGACAGTGGGGGGGTCCTGTGTGAGGGGTGTGGAATCGATTTGCCATGTGGATTCATGGTCTCAGTCTCTGGCGCCTGCGGGTTCTTTTAGGTTTAAATAGTTTTTCCTAAGAATCCGGGCCTTCAAACAGATAGGGGCCCTGGTTCGGCCCCGGACCCCTGCGTTTCGGTGGAGAAGGTCCGACCCCTGCCATGGAGAGTTCAAGGATTCTTAGGGTAGTTCCAAATCATGGGAGAGTTCACCGAAAAATGCCGATCCCCTCGTTGTTTCTATGCTCTGCGGGCCCTTCCGGGGGCCTCGCAATGAATGACGACACGCTCCATGAGGTCCGAATTCTTCGAGGTCACCGGCTAGACTTCTACCCAGACGCTCCGTGAACGACGCCCGACTGGTCCCTCAAAACCATCGGGTTTGGTTCGGGTCCAGACCCCTGCAGAGGATTTGGGTCCCGCGTCTGGGTAGACCGTGTGTTGGATGTTAGCAGTGGATTGGATTCATCTTCAGGGCACGAACCAGATTAGCCCTACCCCAGACACGACCTGTTTGGGACTGCCAGTCAGGACTGCCAATCAATTGAACCCCCTGGCACCACCCCAACTGATCGGCATATTTTACCAGTCCCATGGGTCGCGTCTGGGTACCCAAGCTGCAAGCTACTCCAAGCAGCCATTCAAGCTCGCGACCACGGGGGGCTGTTCGACCGACGTGGCTGGCAAAACAGATCGCGGAGCTGAGACCATCCGAGATCCCCCGCCTCTCAGAAGCCTGTGACGTCGTTTTTCTCAAGTCGTCATGACCACATTCCACTTCCATGTTGTCAGCCTTTTTTTTGAGACAGGTTTCTTTGTGGGTTGGTGTGTCCAACCGATGCTTTGTACAGAACAGGGTTATGCCTTACTCGTGACAGCGAACCGGGCCTTTTGAAGTTCCGCCGTCGCCGCAGCGTCGCCCGGGCGACGCTACCGTCCGGTGATGAGATGGAGCGATGTGAAGAGCAAGGAAACCCAGGCGTCAGACGAGCCAACCCACCGGCAGCCACCGCCCGACATGTGGTTTCCATCGTTCGTGTTTGACCGTCCGATTTCGGAAAAGCACATATGGATGGTCTCAGGGGTCACGACCAGCACCAGCTTTTTGGGTCTCCGCAGATGCTTTCAGACAGACCGTGCTTCAGCTCGTGGGAATCGACATGTTCGCGACTAGGGATACTATAAATCGGGGATGGGTTGTTTGGTGCGTGGAAGAGCTGGAAAACGGCTGATCTGGCCTGGCGGCAGAGAAGCTGGGATAAGCAAGATAAGATGGACCTAACCCAGACGGACCTACAGAAAAGAGAACCTCCAAAACCGGGCAGGCAACATGCCCTTTCTACCTCGAGAGTTTCCTGCAGAAGGAGCTTACGAAGACGGTAGTCCTCCGAAACTGCCTTCATCTCAACACCTCCGGCTCGACCGGCGGTGGTCAACACGGCCACGAAAACGCCTGGCATGGCCTGGCACACAGAGGTTGAAAAAAGGCTGGCAGCGCTTTCGAAATCTCGGAAGCGGGAGGGTGTTGAGGCCGAGGCTCTTGTCCAGAATTGGAGGATGGCCACAGTCACAGCACTTGGATGGACACTTTCTTTGCAGTCTTTGTCACTGTGAGACAAGTCACAGTCACATATTCAGATCGGGGATAAGTGATATCCTATGATCCAGCAAGAGGTTTGGCCCGTTGGGTTTGAAGTCCTAAGGGAAAGATCCACCAAAAAGGGGGTCTGGAAGTTGTTGTGGAAGGCGACTTGGGTGGACCAATTGACCGTGGACCAAGTGACTGTTCTGATCAATTCTTATCCTCTTTTCTTGGTTCAGATATATATATCACCACCCAGTTTCTTGCTAGGCAGGGCAAGTTCCTCGGGCGCCTTGATTGGTGTTTTAGATGAACTCAGTGTTGCCTGGCAGTTCATGTCCACTCTACCCTTCCACGAACATGACCCAAGTAGCAGCTGAATCAGGTCTAACAACCTCATCGCTTCGTGCCACACGACCTGCGACGCGACGTGGGACGCGTACTCTCGATGTCCCCGCTGCCGGTTTGCTCGCCGGACCCATCGGACCCCGCGAGTTGAATGAAGTGGCGCGAGGCGCGGCGAAAGCGCACGCGAAAACACCAGATGCTCAACAGATCGGCACCGAAATCGGGGATCACCTGGCAGGTGAGACCCTACACTGATCTCCATCTTCCCCTACCCGGAAGAAGAAAGCGCTGTAGTCAACTCTGGTAGGTTGACCTATGCCGCGAGCTCCGTTGCTTCGGGCCGGTCTGGGCCAGGCAGTCACGGCCGTTCCACTGCATCGTCATCCGATGCGACGTAAGCCGTTCATCCGAAGGCGGTTCGTGGTTCCCGAAGCCTGTCCAACAACCAACAACCCCTCCAAGCAGATCTTCATGGACCATCCGATCCTCCGGTCCGGTCAACTTGGAGCCGAAGGCGGTCCACTTTGGAGCCGAGTTTCGGGCGGGTCCGCGTTGTCCCAGCCCAACGGACCGCAAACACGGTCCGTGTGGACATTTTGGGAATACTAGATCTCTATAGCAAGAGCTATAGCAAGATGTGTTTTGGGACTTCATTGTTTTACTTACATCTTCATTTCTCGATTACAGCGGCAACCCAGTCCAACGGTCCAATGCACAACGGTCAACAGACTGGTCAACAGAGGCAGCTCAGCTCGACTCTTCTCCGTTCCGTGCCGTGGGTTCCGCGCCTCGGTTCGAGGCGGCGAGCTGATCCCATGTGGCGCGTGGGGCAGCCTGGGAATGAGGTGAATGAGGTGAAGATGAGGTGAATCAGTCAGTCAGTCAGTCAGTCTTCAGAAATGAAGCATAAAACAGTCAGTCTTCTTATGGCCTGCAGGGAGTGCTTTTGGTGAACAACCAATCTGAATAATCTCTGCATGAATACATCTCTTGGAAGGGGATGCCTTCCATGTGGGGTGCGTTTGCCACTTCCATGGTCCATGTGTTCGTGGGAAGAAGTAGCACACGACGGGCGGAGGTTCCTCTCGCTTGGGCGGAGCTTCGGAGTGACGGAGTGACTTTGGGCGGCAACTTCTCCGGATTGGTTCAGAACCACTAGGGCCCTCCAACAGGTCTCCGTGGCTGTACGGCTGTACTGCAGACATCAAGGTCGCAGGCGGCTTTTGGGTGCGAAGGCTGCAGTCATGACATGAGTATCCATGTCCAAGTGGCCAAATGTACACCCATCAGCTTCTTGTTTCAGCTCTGCACAGCAGAATGGTGTGGGCCACACGTTGCTGGAGGGCTTGCCACGTCCAATCATCCAACCTCTTCGTGGTTGGTTCTGTCCAAAGAAGAATCGCCATGTGGCGCATTGTGGCGCCTTTTTGGATCCCCAAGAAACTACCGCCCAAACCCGAACTCGTCCCAACATGTAAAGATCCAGGTCTTCTTCCGTTACACCGTCCCAACGGCCTGCGAACCGGAACCCGTGTGACTCGCAGAGAATGAGTGAATGAACCCCTGGTAGGTGTCTCCAAATCCATTCTCCTTCCTTACTCAATGACCAAATGGATTTGGAGATTGTCATTATGTCATTAATCATTCCCTACAAGTCCAAAGATCCAGTAAAACCTCATCCTTTACCTGCTTGAGTCGTGTTTTTGTATGACCACGTCCAGTAAAATGAGGTCTTTGACTTGCAGGGATTCTCCTTCTTCCATGTACGCCAGATATGCCGCCGAGAAACGGCCAGGGGTGGTGCCAGGGGGGTCTGACTCTGCGGCGGCAGAACTATGTCAATCCCATTAGTCGTGTACCAGGACACCCTAAGGGGCTTCTATTGATAGCCCCTTAGATGTTAAGGGGTGTCCATTAACCACCCCTTGTGGGTCCTGGTATGGAAGAGGGAGACACCCCAAAACTCACACCCTCTCGCCCCGTGGGTGGGTAGACGCGCATCGATGATCGGTTACTCAACACTCAAAACACTCGATCATACGTCGTCCAGGTTCGCCGATTTGAGGCACCACCCGGTCGTGTTCAGTGTCAGTTCCTGAACTCACTCGCATCACCGAACTCGTCAGACCGTTTTCAAGTCATGGTCGACTGGACGAAACGAGTCCTTTACTTGGCCAGACTCCTGGGGGAATTCGACCTGTTCCACAGTGCCATTTCGGCAGGGTTTCGACCATTTCGGCGATGTCGGCCATTTCTAGGCTTCCCAGGCAAATACTATACGACACGACATCTGGACTGGCATCTGCTCCATACACTGATCCCTTTTCAAATCAACCACCCCGGAAGCCGTTTCTGGGTCCCATGTGTCGTGTCCACCGCTCCACCGAGGCGCTGCTGGGACTCGCCGCACTCGCCGGAGCGAAGCAGGCGAGTCAGCGCGAAAGGGTGAATGCCGGTGACGGGGGCGCGAACCGGGTGAACCGGGTGTGTCACCGTGGGGTGTGTGGTGTTTTTGGGTGCAGCTTTCGGGTCCTGTTTGGTACGAAAAACCATGAAAAACCCTATGGAGACACTGAATGGGACCTTTGAGCTGAGTGGGAACTCTGGTACCCTGGTTCAACCAGTTCCGGAAAGCACCAAGCGTTCGAAGCGTCTGCTTGGTGCGTTTGGATTTGGTGCCAGACAGGGCCGCTGCCTCAAAGCACGAAGACAAGGACCTCCAACGTAAACCAACCAGGACCCTCCTGGCCAGGCTGTTTCGAGACCCGACCACAGGCGGCGAACCTGGGCACCGGACACACTTGTTGGAGGGTCGGACGGAAGAAAGCTTCCAGTTTTCGCAGAGCCCTTGGATCACTATTTCGTAGACCAGTCATGACCCGTCCAGCAACATGTCTAGTAGCTGATTGATCAAAGAAGCCAATGACTATTGTGCATGAAGTGAATCCAGAATGCTCTGCAAGGCTAGGTTTTTCAAGCAGGCAGGCAGCCGATTAGACAGACAGACAGAACCACAGTTACGGCTTCAGTGTTGCCAAGTGGCGAGTTACGGTGAAACCGTGAAACAGTGTATTCACCCTTTGAGACGGACGCAAGTCAGTCTCGCGTGGCATACGCGCCGTGGCGCGCGAGCCATGGTGAGGACACTTTCAGCGGTGCTGCCCAGTGGCGAAGTCAGGGCTATTGAAGTGATTCCAGAGATGACAGGCCTGGAGCTGAAGCAGAAGATCAAGGAGGGACAGCTGAGTTGGGATGAGCTTACTCACAAGACTACGGCTGTGGAGATCATCGTGGAAGACAACAGTTTGTTGGCCAATGATGCGAAAGTGTTGGATGTAGCATTCGCTGAAGAAGAGACAGTCTTTGTGAGTGTAGTCTTCAAACCCAACGTAGTGGTATGCTCATCCAAACAAGAGGCGGTTGCCAGTTCTGGCGGTGTCATTGACTCGGAACTGTTGCTAGTCGTTGAAATCCCAAGTGATGAAACTCAGATTCAAGAGCATGCGTTCTGCAATTGCCAGACATTGGCCAAGTTGACTATCCCGAACTCTGTAACTCACATAGGGAACAGTGCCTTTGAAAAATGCAACTCGTTGGTCAACTTGACCATCCCGGACTCAGTGACCCAAATTGGCCACAGTGCCTTTGCAAATTGCAGCTCTTTGGTGAGCTTGACAATCCCAGACTCCGTCACCCACATTGGGCGCTATGCCTTTGCCACGTGCCGCTCTTTGGTGAACTTGACCATCCCAGACTCAGTGATTTACATTGGGTTTTGTGCCTTTCGGCAGTGCAGCTCGTTGGTAAACGTGACCATGTCAAACTCGGTGACACAAATTGGTTTTGGTGTGTTTGCGGAGTGCCGCTCTTTGACAAACTTGACAATTCCAAACTCAGTGACCCTCATTGCGGGTTGTGCCTTTCTGAATTGTCGCTCTTTGGCGAAGTTGACCATCCCGAACTCGGTGACCCGGTTTGGGCATGCTGCCTTTGCGCGTTGCACATCCTTGAGAAAGCTGATCATCCCGAACTCTGTGACCCACATTGGGGAGGAGGCTTTTCAGAATTGCCACAGATTGGTGAGGTTAACCATCCCCAACTCTGTCACACACGTTGGGATGCGTGCCTTTGTAGGGTGCCATTCTTTGGTGCTTCAAGTGTCGTTCCTGCGGCAGCTTGAAAAGTGTCATAGCCGACGAGCGTTGCTCAGACAAGTTTCTACTAGTTCTTCTGACTGGAGCGCACCATAGTGCCAACCATCCACACCACGCGTGCAGCAAATCATCAGGAACCGTCCCACACCGTCCGTGCTGCACAAACGGTCGTAGCGAGTTTTCCGCTGGTCATGGAAAGGCTGGGGACCGAATGGTTTCATGTCGAGTACGGCGCGCCTCAGCGCTTCCGGCGGAAAAAGAAGGCCCATTAGGATTCTGCAGTTCATGAACTTGAGAGTCACGAACATGAAGGTACATGTGAGTTCATGCTTCCACTTCCCGGTCACCTCTCGGCCCAATAAGGGGCCCCTTGCTTGCCATTCACTGGCTGCCATGGAGTGAGAAAAGGTCCGCATCGGTGGATCGAGGTTCGGTTGCTGTTGAGTCGGCATATCCATTGGTTTGCACTACATTGAGCATTGAGGTACACCCTTTTGTTGCTGGTTGTGTTGCTACATTGGTTGTACATGCTACCAGTGCACACCAACTGCACTGGTAGCGGAGCAGAGTTAGCTCCGGGGTCATGGCGGACGTCAAGGATCGGCTGAATGAGGTGCCTAGCTGGGACGGTTCCTCGAAGACTTGGCGCCGCTATTGCAAAGAAGTTGGATGGCATCTTTCTGGAACGAAGAGTTCCCAACGGAAGTACGTCGCTGCCAAACTGATCAGTCGGTTGTCGGGTGCCGCTCGCCTCCTTTCCATGTCCTGGCACCAAAGGGATTTTGAAGGTGAAGAAGGAGTTCAAGTCATGTTGAGGCGTTTCGCCTCTTCCCCCTTGGTGAGGCGCAGCCTCCCCAATAATGCGGCTGCGACGATGTCATCCTATTTCATGTTCCAACGACGGCCTGGAGAAAGCATTGCACAATTCCTTGTGAGGGAAACATTAGGCTTTGAGGAATTCCAGGAGGCCTTGCTACAACTCAAAGAGGAGAAAGACGGAATCTCCCCTGCTGATCGTTTGTTTGAGTTGCCTGAGATCACCACCTCCGAGACAGACAAAGGTGAACGCTATTACAACCCTTGGCATCGAGATCAACGCTGGCGTGATTGGGAGGAAACCCCTTTTGAAGAGCAGGTTGAACAAGCAGTTGATGCCCCAGAGGGTTATACAGCAGTTCCCCAAACATCCGATGCAGGTGAGGAAGCAGCTCCTCACTCACCGGCGGGGTCGCCGAACCGGACTCGTCAAACACAAAGGAGCCCTTCCCGCAAGACAGAGCAACAGAGGATGATTGATGGTTTGGGTCCTATGGATTCCTTTATATTAGATGTTTTGCGTGGCTGGAGACTACTTGTTGCAGCAAGCCTTACAAATGATGAATGGAGAGACATCCTAGCTAGCACTGGCAACAAGCTCGACTATCCAGCCATCGCTGAGGCTCTTCAGACCCTATGGGATGAACAGCTCAATCATCATCATGGAGCATCCAAAGGTACAGTGTTGCAACAACATTGGGTTGAGACCGCGGATCCTTGGTACAATGCTGCGTGGCACGAGTCCTCGTGGGACACTGAGGATTGGCATGAGTCGGATTGGCACTCCATGGACCAATTTGGTGCGTGGCCTCAAGCTGTCAACGACCCAGTGGATAACACTGCAACCACTGATGATGACCCTGAACTCCAAGAAGCTTTGGAGGCTGAGAAGGCCGCAGAGGCCTTGGCAGTTGAAGCTCGTCGAACCTGGTCGCAAGCTCAGCAGGCTACAACAGCCCTTCGACGTGACCGTGGTTTTGGACAGTTTGCTGGAACCTCATCCTCCAAAGGTGGCAAGGGACCCATCCGCTGTCACATTTGTTCAGGTCCTCATTTTGCTCGTTATTGCCCTGACCGTCAACACCCACAGTACCGCAAGGGTGGTGGAAAGCAGTTGAGTCCAGCTGAGCTGGACGCCTACCTCTTCAAGGGCAAGGGGAAAGGCATGCGAAAAGGGAAGGATCAAATGATGTCCTCATGGGACGATTCCTACATGGCGCCTTGGGATGTGATGTACACCCAGAAGGGCAAGAACAAGAATGCTGGTAAGGGCGGAAAGCTTCGTTCCACTGTCAATGTCTATGGCATGGACTATGGTGGGATGGATTTTAGCATGATGGAGCTCCACACGCTTGAGTTCCATGAGACGATGGAAGCAGTTCCCTTGGAGCTCTACACCTCCAATGAGACTCCAGCTCCTCGAGCCATCCCCGAAGGATTTGGCATGTTGGATTGCGGGGCTACGGCCTCGGCTGGACCCGAAGCTTCTGTCAAAAAGTTGATTGCCAAGCTGCGTGAAAGTGATCCACAGTTGAAGGTCACCATTGATGTGGAACGAAGACCCTTTTTCAGGTATGGTTCAGGTCGTTGGGGACAAGCCATGTACTTTGCCTCCATCAGCGCCTCCACGAACCCCAACAAGTCCTTTGAGGTGTTTGCCCTGCCGAATCCCACGGAGTATTACCAGAAGTCCTTCAAAGACTATATGCTGGTCCCAATTCTTGTCGGTATGGATTTCCTCACCAAGGTCGGCCTGATTCTGGATTTCCAAGATGGTCATGCAGTGTTTGGTATCAGAAGGACGCTAAGTTTGGGAGGTGTCTTGTGGTGGATCAACAGTTTTACATTGAAATGTTGCAGGACGTTGATGTGCACCCCAAACGGATCATCCACCATGGCTCCCAAGGAGATTGCGGCCTGTCGGACATCACTTGGTGCCTTGCAGTGGTTGGCGGTCCAGTCACAACCGCTGATCACTGCTCGCTGCAATTTGCTCATTACTGAGCTTTCCACGGATCCCAAGATCCAGATTGCCCAGGAGCTACAAGAGATGATTCGGGAGCTGCGCAAAGAAGGATCAACATTGAAGTTTTTCAAGTTGCCTGGCGTCCGTCGTTGGACGGATTTGTGTGTGGTTGGCCTGGGGGACCAGGCACACAACAACAGACCCCGGAGGGTCGACGGGAGGCATGACAGTTTTCCTGTCAGGCCCCGTCAGCCCTCAAGGGCGTCCCAAGACGCCCTCAAGGGCGTCCCAACGCCAATGTGTTTGGTGGCTTGGCGCAGCTGGAAGCTGAAACGGGTGGCGATCGGCACCAACGATGCCGAAATGCAGGCGATTGTTGAAACAGAGGATGTGGTCTATAGAACCAGGCTGCTATGAGCAGGTATGCAAGGCACCGGCTCCATCTTCAAAGGCCGGGACTTGCTGAGTGTCGCGGACTCTCAGGTCCGGTTGGTCCCCGGTGTGTTCGGGACCGATTCGAAAGGAGGGTTCGACTCGGTCATGGTGAATGAATCACCACTGCTGGGGTTGTCGAACATGCGCGCTGCCATTCAAGCGTACCAATTGAAGCAGGCCATTCGACTCTGTCACACCAAGTTGATTTGGCTTGCGAGCGACTGGAACTTAGGTGAGCCTGACCTTCTTTTTGCGCCACCGCACTTGGCAGCTCAAGTTCGATCCGAACTTCATCGTTTCGGCCAAGAAGCAGCGACAAGCTTCGAGGACCACACCTTCTCAGGTGATCGGCAGGAGGATCATGAACTCAAAAGAAAATCTTGGAGATGCAGTTCATGAACTTGAGAGTCACGAACATGAAGGTACATGTGAGTTCACGCTTCCACTTCCCGGTCACCTCTCGGCCCAATAAGGGGCCCCTTGCTTGCCATTCACTGGCTGCCATGGAGTGAGAAAAGGTCCGCATCGGTGGATCGAGGTTCGGTTGCTGTTGAGTCGGCATATCCATTGGTTTGCACTACATTGAGCATTGAGGTACACCCTTTTGTTGCTGGTTGTGTTGCTACATTGGTTGTACATGCTACCAGTGCACACCAACTGCAGATTCCAACGTGCGGGATTGATTGCACGGTCTGAATCCCAAAGAACCATTTGTTTTGCTCAGGAATCTTTACACGACTTCAAAAACCAGGTCAATGATTCTTTTTCATGGTCTTCGAAGGCTGCCGGGTACTAGCTGCTACTAGCTACCTTGGATTCCCATTTCCACTCTAGTCGCCCGGACTCCGTCTACATCAGGCCCTTCCCCAGCATCCTCCACCTGTCCTTTGTCACTCTCGTGATGGCGGTCCGGACCCCTTTTGGTGTCATGTCCTGCCACCCGAACCCTGCTCGGCGCGGAGAGCAACCGCCCCCCGACCTGTCCGCAGGACGCGCTGCAGGTCTTCCTGGGCGAGCTCCAAAGGACGTCCGAACGAGCGCACGAGCGGTCGACGCGGCGGCGTGGCGCAGAAGACGCGGCGGGTCGGTTCGGGG